AAAGCCAAAACCAAGGTCCTAGCAAAGATGTGCCCCTTTTGAAGGTTCTAGAGAAGAATCCATTCCCAAGCTCAGTGAGACTGCTGTTTGAGTTTAGTCCATTGGCTTTTCAGATTGGAGGCCACTATTTCCAGCTACTGGGCAGCTGGGGCTGCTCTTCTGCCTGCTTACGGTCCTTCTCCAACTCTCCTCCTAGACTTTCTCCAGCAATAGAGGGTGGAGCCCCTCTTGTCTTGAATCTCTCTGTCTGACGCTTTCTCCATCCTTGTCCTCTTTTCCATGCACATTAGACTGAGCTTACTGAGATAACTCTACCTTAGGGACAACTAGTCAGCAACTTCAATGGCATGTGTGAAGTCCCTCCATGAGTGTTTGGATCACCAGGGCAGAGAGACTTGGGAGGACATAGTTAGAACAAGTGAACATCCCACACTGATGCCCACATTTGAAATCTGAACAGCACTCACAACCAGACCCACTTCTGCTTCTGTCCTTTGCATCTCTCTAGTGTATGTAAGCTCTCAGTGGGCTTGTTTTTCTAAGATTTTCTTTTCTGCCTCCTGCACTGGAATGTGTGCTTCCTGAACAAACAGTTTTGTCTGTTTTCTGTTTACTGCTCAGGTCAGTGATGGGCATACAGTAAGCGCTCCACGAATAGGTCCTGAACAGGGGAAGAAAGGAATCTTACTCATGGCCATTGTTCCTAGAGTTTCTCACTGTACTTGTTCCTGTTGACTCTATTTTTAATCTCTGTTTTATAGATGTTTCAAATGAGGACCAGTAGAATTGAAGCAAGATTTCCAGAGCTATGTGGCAGCAGGAGGCATAACCTAGTCACATGATATTAGGTTATGGAGTGAGAGAATCCAGAGAGCCCACCACTTCTGTGAGCAGTAGTGGAGTCTAGCAGGTCAGCACAGGGACTCTGGGATCTGCTTCCTGGAATCAATGCCCGGCTATGCTGTTTGACCTTGGGTAGAGTACTTAACCTCTCTGCATCACCATTCCCCTTCTTTTGGTAGGATCTGATAACAGTACCACTCCCCAGAGGATGTCTGTGAACGTTACCTGAACTGATACAATGATGGGCTTAGAAGAGTGAGGAAAATGCATATTATGTATTTACATTTTAAGTAATATAATACACCACATTAACATATTTTATTAATATAAACCATAATCTACTATTAAATAGTGTTATTAATTTTATCAACTTGTAATAATTCACATTATTTGTAATATATTATGGAATTTATAGTATGTACTATAGTGTATTATTTCTTTAACTTGGTATGCACGTGAACCTGATTCCCAGCATCTGCCCCTACTACAGTCTAGGTATTTTTCATTTTCCAAATGTGTCTGAAATTCAACAACATTTTTTGTGTGTGTGTGTGGAGGGGTACCATGAATTGAATCCAGGGGCGTTTAATCACTGAGTCTTATTCCCAACCCTTTTTATTTATTTATTTTTTTTATTTTGAAATAAGGTCTCAGGTTGCTTATGGCCTCACTAAGTTGCTGAGGCTGGCTTTGAATTTGCCATCCTCTTGCCTCAGTCTCCTACGGTGTGCTCCACCATGCCCAGCAACAACATTTGTTTACACATATATATCTAGTGCAGGTGTGTATGTGTGTGAAATTACCAATTTTATAAATGGCTTTGGTTTAATAGGAAGAATATGCTAGGGTCCGTTTCATGGGAAATGGTTTTTTGTGCGACTTGGAAAACAGAAGAATCATGAAAGAATCCTCTGGAGAGAGAATCCGATGAAGGTGCAGGATTTGGTTTTTAACTAATAACCAGCCACTAAGGGCCCAGAGCAAGAGCACTGATGTACCCACAGCAAGGTGGGCTGGGCTTCCCTCCACACAGCCAGCTGTCACCTTTGATGTGAAGCTGCCTTGCTCCCATCTGATATCTGCCCATCTGGCTTTCAACAGGAGGCTTCAGAAACATCCAGGAGAGCTTGTCGTTACCATGGATGGGTGCTAGGTGATTTTCTGTTCTTTGTTTGGTATGAGCCGTTTATTGTTGAGGAGCTAGAATCTAGCCTAGGATGTACGGTGCAGTGGAATTCCTTGCAGACTGGAGAGGTCTGAAACCCCTTCAGAGTGAGGCCGTGGAGCAGGCCCTTCCTCAGGCACCCCAGGCAAAATACTGCTTTGAGTCCCTGCAGTCAGAAAGTACTGGCCCCTCTGTGCTGAGTAAGGCCAGCTTTATTCAGGGTAGGGAGACCCTAGTGGAACAAATCCCTGAGGAACTTAAAATGATAATAATAATAAACTTTGTACAAGGCAAAGTCAGAATCAAAGTATCTATTGGTTTCATTGAACATTCATATTTTGAATATTCAATCATTCAAATATGATCGAACACTATTGAACACTCCCTAGATATTTTTTCCCAAAACACTGTTTGGTATGTAGATATTAGAAGTGTTATTTAGTTAAACCTATGTGAAAAATCCTTCCATTCATCCATTCATTGATTTCTTCATTCAACATTATTTATTGTGGACATACTATGTGCTGGGAGCTTTGCTAAGCAGCAGAGGAATGAGGAATGCATACAATCATAGACCAAATAAAAATAGTTTCATTATTATTCTGTTTATAAGAGCTGAGTCTTCAAAGCGGATGTCCCCAAAGAAGTCTTAAATCTGTTCAAGAAACCCACATTGACCCACATTTTGCTTGAAATTGTACTAGGCATGGAAGGTATATAGATATGATCCCCAAATATTAGAGATTTATATCAAAATAAACTCATGCAGCTATTCAAAGCTGTTCACTGATCTGTCTCCTCCCTTAGATGTTGAGCCCTAATTCCAAACTGTACGATGTGATCTCACACTCAGTATTATGTTACATTTCATGGCAAAAGGGACTTTGCAGGTGTAGTTTAGGTCACTAATTAATTGGCTTTGAGTTAATTATCACAATTACACTGGTGGACTCAATCTAATTGCTTTCACAGGAGAGTGGTCCTCTAGTTGAGAACAGAAGAGGAAGTCGGAGGGGAGACTTGGATGTAAGGGGGATTTTCCGTTGCTGAGATGGAGGGGTCCATGGGGCAAGGGCTGAGGAGCTGCCTGCAGATGCTGAGAGGGGTCCGTAGCTGTCAGCCAACGAGAAAACAGTGACCTCAGTCCTACAACCCAGAGGACTGAACTCTGCCCACTACCAAAGTGAGCCCCAGACTCACTGGAGAAGAACCACAAAAAGCCAGCCCCCTTGACACTTTGATCTCAGCCTTCCAAATCCCTGAGCAAAGGGTCCAGCGGAGTCTGCCAGGACCTGCCTCTACAGAGCTGTGAGATTACTAGTGGGTGTTAGTTTTAAGCTACTAAATTTCTTATCATTTGTTACTCAGCAATAACAGCATGAAAACATCATCCTTGGTTATTCTGCATTTTATAGATAATTTGTAGTTCAGATGACTTAAAACCTAAGAGGATGCTGAGAGACCCATGCGGTTCTTTATAATTGATAATAAAAATTAGCACCTTCTATTTGTACAACCTCATTTACAAAGTGATTTTGCATAAAATGTTCTTATGTGAGGAATCTGCTTATAGCTAAAGGTGAAGAAACTGAGAATGAGATATGCCACGATCTGCCACCTAACACACTGGTGTGTCACAGGAGTGGAGTTTGAATTCAGGCCCCACAGACTCACCTACCCAGGCACACATGACAACATGGTGGTCATCACATGAACAGTTTTCTATCTTGTTTTCTCTTCGTTGCTCCTACCTTTGTTCTAGTTGGAAGTATTCGGGGAATTCTCCTCCTCCTGCTTGTTTATCAAATGCTCATGAACCAAATAAGGGCAGTTAAATTTTTAAAACACTCAAAATATTTATTGAACACTATATCACAAACAAGTTACGCTGTTAACATACACCAAGCATGCTGGTGTCGCTCTACAATGTCAATTTATTGAATAACGATGGATTCACAGGCTATACAACTTTCAGCAGCTGTATGCAATTCACGAATATTCATACATCACTTGATAGTCATAAGCCTGGCAATTACAGGTTCTTTTATTCCAATTTTAACTACTAAATCTGTAATACTCAAGTCACATACTTAATACAATTTCATCTCTCTCTCTATATGTGCGTGTATATATATATATACATATATATGTATGCATGGATATATGTTAAGAATGGCTATCTACATGCGCGTGCTTATATGTGTTTGTGCACGCACACACACACACACACACACACACACACACACACTAAAGAATGGCTAAGAAAGGGTTAAGGTGGCCAAAGAGGTGGCTTCGGGAGTCTGAACAGGGAGCACAGAGCAGATAGGAATGAAAGGGTCACTGCAGATGGTCAGGAAAGATTCCAAACCATTTGAAGACCTTGTTCAGGGCACAGAGCTGCCAGAAATGGAACTTATTCTAGGCTAGGGTCTCAGGCCCACGTGTCAGCTTGGAGTGGTCCTTGTGCCATCATGTCAACACATGCAGAAGAAACTGCACTGTACTGAAGCCTGTGGCAATATTCCTGGGCAAAGCTCTGAAAGAGTGACCAGGGCTCAGTATACTGCAGTGTGCAGGTTTGAGGTGCTCCTCCTTTATGAGTCTCAGGTAAGGGGTTCTTCCATTCAGTGTTCTGGGGTGTTCGATAAGATCACAGGTGCCTGTTTCTTGTTGTTTGTTGGTTTTTTTTGTTTTTTGTTTCCAGGACTGGGGATTAAAACCAGAGGTGCTTAATACCGAATTACATCCTAGTTCTTTTAATTTCTTTTAACTTTGAGATGGAGTCTCACTATGTTCTCAGGCTGGCTTTGAACTTGTGGTTCTCCTGCCTCAGCCTCCCCAGTCTTTGGAACTACAGGTGTGTGCCACCATGCCTGACTAGCCCTGTTTTTTGTTGTTGTTGTTGTTGGTTGGTTGGTTTTTAATATGGGATTGATACACCCATGCATCCATGTGCTTCTGATTATTTAAGTAAGTTCACAGGTTGGGACAGTTTTATTAGCATGATTAATTTATTTATTGGTTTGTGCTTTGGGTTGTGCTAGACAGATGGTGATTGTTTACTTATACAAATAAGTCATTCTTCCTCAGCACTTACATCAAAGTGGAGTAACCATGCCAAACTATTGCTATATAGAATGGAGTACCTCTGTCTTGGGCCCAGTCTGAAAGCTACTGTTCTATTTATCATGAAGCAATTTAGCAGGACACAGCTGCTCTCCACAAGCATTTAGTATGGGCCACAGATACGACAGGGTGCACAAAATAACCAGTCTTCTCTTGGATGTGTAGCATGGTATTGGGTCTTGGAAATAGACTCACCAAGAAGATGTGGAATATCTGCAAGTCAGAAATGGACTTCTGTTTGTGTAGCTGTCTCACAAAGTAAGATAATCCAACAATCTTTTGTCTCTGTAAATTTTTGATATTTGCATAACCTTGTCCTTTATCGTTTTCTCTGTGAAAAAAACATTGTTTGGGGAATTATTTATATTCGTAGAATATTCTAGAGAAATGTGCTGCGGAGACTGGAATCTAGGAGAGCATAAGATAAGAGTCCTACATATGATTTACCCATTCCCTAAACCAGTCAACTTCCCTCAGACCCTCTCCCTTCCCACTAAGCCCTTCAGAATGGAAAGACCCTGCACAGTTCTTGGGGAAGGTCAGCAAAACCTGTGCTCCCTCCCATAGAAATCTACCTTTTGTCTCTTTGAACCAGCCCAACTGCCTGAGGAGCCCCTGTGATTGCCACCAGAGGCCAAGCCACTCTTATCCTGGAGTCAGCATGACCACTGCAAGCCCTGGTCCCTTGCTGTGAGTATCTCTCTTTTATTTTTTTCTTAATGATTCTTGGAGGGTAGAAGGAAAAAAGTGTCAGCATGAAGTAAACTTGAAATTCAGCCCTTGTAAGGCCCAGCCACACCCATTATGGTCTAACCAAACAATTCTGATTCCTAGGGCCTGAGCAAGCTCTCAGGGTCCATTGTAATCTGCTGCTATACAACCGTGATCAAGGGAATAGAGACATGTGTGGCTGAACATTCCCTCCCCTAAGGACATCCTGAGCCTAGCTGGCATTCTAAGATGGCTATCAGAAATTACTCATACGAGGACTTGGAAAGGACATTTTGTGACTGGTGTCCGCAGCTCTGGAAGACCTGCTTAAAAGGGATTTATGGCCCGTGATCCCTTGGGACTTGTCTGACAGCCAGTTTTTCATGACATGCCCACTGTTTTCATTTAGGTTACTTACAGCAATATCTGGGGCAGCTGGGGGTACCTGCCCTCACCTCTGCCACTCAGCCATCACTGTGTGTGTGACTGTTGGAAGCCACTGTTTCACTGCCTGTAGGTCTGAGGACACTCTGGTGTGCCCGCCACATTGCTACTTTTTTGGGCCAGATGGAATGGACATGGGGCGAGCAACTTTAGTTTTATTTGGTTAATGAGAAAAGCAAGGCCAATCAACCAAGGCCTCCTTGCAGGAATCAATGGGAACCAGGAGAGAGAACTGAAGGATTCTCAACGTTGGGTATCCATGTGATGGGGGAGATCAAAAGCCCACATTTCAGGAAAAAAAAAAAAAAATCAAAGTGTGCTATGTCTATTTCTCTTTTACCGAGAACAGATTTTAAAAACAAAAATCAAAGTCCCATCTGTTCACTGTCAACATTAGAGATTGCACATTGTGTTTTATCAAAGTAAGTTTGCCTTGGCAGTGGGGGTTATATTTTTGGAACGTGCTTGGAACCTAGAGTAGCTGAAACCGAGCTCGGCCTCCAGGGCCTCTCCTGCTGCTGTGTGTGTGCTCCTGCAGCAGTGGACATGTTTAATTGATTTCTTTGACCAGAGACACTGGGAAAAGACAAGCAGGTGTCTGAGTCTCGGGACCCACGTAGGGAAGGGCCCCAGGCTTTCAGCACAACAGGAAGTTGTTGAACAGATTTGTACCGAGGATAGGCAGCAGCCCGGCCAGGCCTGTATCTCAGGAGTTCACATCCGTGGGGTGCTGGCTAAATCTGTTCAGGAGTTATGCTGGGGTGGAAACTGAGCCTGTGGGCCTCCTTTCTGTTCCCGCTTATGTCTCCCAGAGTCACCCTTTGCTGGTCAGCTGGCAAGCATAATTACTTGGCTTCCAGATCATTAGAGAGGAAGTTAGATGAGGCCATCCACCACACCAGTCTTGCAGCTTTTCCACCCCACCTTGATTGGAGTGTCCAAGTTCAAGTCCATGCCACTCTAGTTATTCTGAAGATGAAACATGTCACACTGTTGTGGATTCAAAGCAAGAGGACCCCGCGCCATCTGTATACCCTCCTACAGTTATTGCTTTGTAGATGCACATTGCTGCTGACAGGATTGCTGCTCTGAGGTTCAAATCGCTGCTCCTGATAGATAATGCCAGCCTGTATTTGGACGGAAAGTCTGAAGGAGATCTCTGTTCAGAGAAGAGCCATTGAGTGACTCCCTCAGTTTCACAGGTTTAGAGTGAAGAGGAATCCATCAAGGGTTGTGGGTCCATCACTGAGAAGCTTGACATGCAAAGCTGATTTCTAAAGGTGAAAAGGAAGACCAGTTTTGTATTTAGAGCCCAAGATCCAAAAGAGGCCTTGGAAGACATGGAGCTCTGAAGATGGGTCAGGGTGGAGCAGGTTGACCCAGGTGAAGTTTAGTTAGAGAAGATCAGGTAGCCAGGCCAGGCTCCCACAAGCGCTCCATGTAGAGAGGACTGGGGGGAGAGCTGGTTTGGACTAAGCAGGGCACACTGGTTCCGACTTGGAGCCAAGATGGCAAAGCATGTCCAACATGGTGGTTCTTTGTACTGTTATTGACTACATCAATCAACAAGGTCTTGCCAGCCATCTTCAGGCCTGCATCAGATGCCAAGTTATGCAGGGCCCATCTAACAGTGGAACAATGTCATTGCAGGCAGAAATGGTAGTTGACCCACAGATTGGACATCAGTGGGTCTCTCTCTCCTGACTTTTGAGAAGCAGAGTCGACCTCACTTTCTATGGTAAAGACTGATAACACACCCCACGGCAGTGACTGGGGCGGTCTCAAGACTTTGTCTTTCTGCTCCTATGCTAAGGGGCTGTTCTTGAGATTATTCAGAAAAATGAAGAACTTTAACCATATTTGGAAAAGACAAGGAGTCAGGCCTATTCTTCAGTTTCACCTCACATACTCTGAGCTTGAAAGTGAAACTTACAGCTGAAATTGAACAGTTATTTTAAGAATGAAGCTCCGGCTCTTGCCTTTCTAGTTACAATCGCACTTTCCCCATCTCCAAAATATTTTTTATTAGGGAAAGTGTACCTTGAGATATTTTTGACCCCAAAAGGAATCAGATGTGGAGACCTGAGCCATGTTTTTCTTTCAAAGACATTTTTGTGGGGATTAGTTCACAAACTCTAGCTGTTATTTAAAGAATGTGAGGCCATTGGTACATTCCTGGGATTCCCCAAGAGACTTAAGCTGCAGACCCTCTATGCAAGCACAGTTCTTCTGTCAGACCTGCCATCCAGCCTCCTGAAAAGAAAATCACTTCTGGGGATTACAGGGACCCCAATTAAAGTTGCATTAGTGGAAGTGATTTAACTTGAGGTCATATTAAATCCGGCCAACACCGCTAAATGAGAGAAATGGAATTCTCTCTGTGCTTCCTCATGGCAGTGCTAGGGGTGATGCTGAGGGAGTGGGGGATGGAAAGGGCTTTGGAGAGCCAAGAATCCTCACTGCAATTCAAGATCAATGGACTTTTCATGTGTTCATGTTGGAACTAAGATTGTAGCTGGTTTGATATGGTTTGGAAAGTACTTTCTTTCTTTTTTTCTTTTTTGGTCCTGAGGATGGACCAGGGTCACTTAACCACTGAGTCACCTCCCCAGTCCTTTTTATTTTTTATTTTGACACTAAATTGCTCAGGCCCTCACTGAGGCTGGCTTTGAACTTGCGATCCTCCTGCCTCCCAAGCTGCTGGGATTATAGTTGGGAAATGCTTACTTTGGACTGTGATTATTGATTCTTCAAGAAAAGAACCAGTTCCTTTTATCTTCATGATTTCAATCCCTGGTATTTTGTACCAAGTGTTTATTGAATGAAGGAAAAAAAACCCTTGGTACATACTGATTATGCAGCCAGGAGCATGACTTTCCACCTGAGCTCCACCATATTGGACTAGAGTCCCTCTGTTCCACTGTCTTATGTGTTTTGTCTAACTGAATTGTAAGGACATGATATATATGTCTGATTCCCCTAAACTAGACAGCGGGGTGTTTAAAGAAAGGAGTTTACCTCAACGGCTTGTTTTGTTCTTGCTTCTGGGCAAGAGCATGGGTTCTGGAACTAGATTACCTTGGGTGGTATCGTGACTCCTCCGTTTCCTCGCTGTGTGAGCTCAGGCTAAGTGTTTAACTTTTCCACGTCTCAGAACAAGACTGTTTTAGTCAGCTTTTCATCACTGTGACCCAAAGACCTGACAAGAACAATTAGAAAAGGAAAAGTTTATTTTGGCTCATGGTTTCAGAGGTTTAGCCAACTTCATTGCTCAGGGTCCAGGTGACGCAGAACATCATGGTGGAAGGGCGTTGAGGAGAGACGCGGCTCAGGAATCAACAGTCAGGAAGCAGAGAGAGCTCCACTTACCAGGGGCAAAATGTAAACTCCAAAGGCATGACCCTCACAACCTACCTTCTCCAGCTACCCTGGACCTGCCTAAGGTTACCACTCAGTTAACCCATATCAGTGGATTAACCTGCTGATTAAGTTACAGCTCTCATAATCAAATTGTTTCACATCTGAAAATTTTTGCTTCGTCTCATACTCGAGCTTTTGGGGAAAACTGTCTATCCAATAATGTTATCAACTGCCTTGTAGAGTCGTATGACAGTTAAATGCAAATGAATTTTAAATGCTTAGAACAGTGACACATGCTCAGTAAACTCTAATGACTGTTTTATTTATTATCATTGTTGATGACGCACATGTGTCAATAAAAATATCGACATACTCCCTCATAGAGCCTGTTTTCTTCCCTATAAATAGTGGCCATAACATAATGATAACCGTGATAACTTGAAGGGCTTTTCTGAGGATCAAATGAGTCAGGGGTTAAAACTCAAAATGCTTTTTCAAAAACTAGAAAGCATTTTGTGACACATTTCTAATATTAACTGCAGCTCAGAAAGAAGTGATTTGCCCCTAATTCCACAGTGAGAATGAGGCAGAGCTGGGGTGGAACATTCTCAGTGCTCCTGAGTATCCAAAGTTCTGCTTAGCTGCGGTGGAAGCTGTCGTAGCCTCTGAGATCACTGGGCCTTTTTCAGTACTTGCGGGTCCAGCTACCTGTCTTTCAGGAAAGCACTATGTTTTAGTCGCTGCTGCCTGGTTACTGCTTCATCCTCACTGTACTCATTGTAGGTGGAGTCCTGATATCAACAGTCAACTTCTTGAGAGCAGACTAGATGCCCTGTGCATTGATTCCATAAGGTGCTACTGAGAACCCAGAAAAAGCATAGAGAAGCACAGACTAGGAGCCGGAACACGTAGGATGGAGGCATCACTTGTCCATTAGCAAATCCTGGTCCCCTTGCTAAGCCCCGCTGATGACTTGGGGTTCAATTTCCATATCTACAAAAGGAAAGCAATTAGATTGTTTCCAAGATTCTGTGGGAAGTGGTCTTCGTCCGGAGTCCCCTGGTTTTCCAGTACTCTCTCCTGCTCTAAACCATGATCTTGGTCCACTCTCAGCCCTTCTTCGATCCCTAGTGTTCCCAATTGTTATTTCATTGGTCATTGTTTGTGCTCCTATGAGCTCATTCACTGTATCAGTTAATGGCAATGCTCATTTACACGTACACACACACACACTCACACACACACACACACACATGCACATATACACACAAAAACACTCATTGTAGGTAAAGTCCTAAGCCTCAGCCCTAGGCCTGCATTTCTTTATTTCTTTCTTCTTTAATTAAATGGTTCTTTTTAATAATAAAAATAGCAGAATCCATTTTCACATAATTTTACGAACATGGAATATATCTTGTTCAAATTCAGACGCCACTATCTCTCCTTCCTCTTCCTTCTCCTCTCCCCCTGCCTTTCTGTCTCTATTAATCTTTCTGCCATTTACCCACAGTTGTTTTGTGTTTTGTCTTCCTGAATTATAAGTTCATGATATATATAGTTATCATTTTAAATTAACTCCTTATGGATGTACATGATGGTGAGATCCATTGTGGTGTATTCAATATGTGCATAGGAAAGTTGTGTCAGATTCATTCCACTGCCTTTTTTTTTCCCATCCCTCACTTCTCTTCATTCCCCTTTGTCTACTCCACCCATTCCCACCCTTATTGTGGGTTAGCTTCCATATATCAGAGAAAACATTTGACCTTTGTTTAGCTTGATAGCCTCCAATTCCATCCATTTACTGGCAAATGTCATAAATTCATTCTTTTTGGCTGAGTAACACTCCTTTGTGTATACACACATTTTCTTTATCCATTCCTCCATTGAAGAGTACCTAGGTTTGTTCTACAGCTTAGCTATTATGAATTGAGCTGCTATAAACATTGAATGACTGCATCATTGTCATAAGCTGATTTTAAATCCTATGGATATATTTGGCCTTCATTTTTTAATGTAATCATTATAGTAACTCATGAGGATGATATTCTTCGCCTCATTCTCCAGATAGGAGAAGTGAGGCTAAGAGAGGATAATGAACTACCCTATGGCACACCACCCGTAAGTGTTCTAGCTAGGATTTGAGTCCTCTGGTCTCTCTTCACCTAACCATTATCTTACATGACCACCTAAAGAAGACAAGAAAGCATCCCCTCTGCCCTAGAGTAACCTCGATTCTTTTTACTTAAGCTTATCAACTAATGGACCTATGAGAATGTAGATTTGTAGAGTGTGCCGATTTCAACTCACGGTGCAGCACTGAGTAGGATCGACGGTGAGTGAAGAGGTGACACGTGCTCAGATGAGATTCTGCCACGGGACCAAGCAGTTGCCTGAAGGGTTCTGGTGTTCCCTTTGGTAACACTGTGAGCAATAACTTAACAAGGATGAGGGTGTGGAGAGGGCAGGTTGACTCTGAGCTGACTGTGGCGGAAGCTGGCAAATAGATAAGGGTTGGAATCCAAAGGGGGAAAAGTCTACTTGCTCAGTGCTTGATGTCTATTATCACATTTTAAACTCCACAGCTCTGAGCAGGACTATGATTATCTCCATTTTATAGAAAAAGAGACCCACATAAGCTTAAGGAGGTGACTATTTAGAGATGACACTGCCTGTGAATTGACTGATTTTCCCCCCAAAATAAACTTTTCTTAGATTTGTTGGAATAATTTTATATTTATAGAAAACTTGCAAGGATACTTTACAACATTCTGGTGTAACACTCGGTTCACTCTATTGCTAACATCCTACATTGTCATGGCAGATTTGTCAAATTAAGAAGTCCAAATCAGTGCATTATTATTTACTAAACTCAAATCTTTTTTTTTCTGAATTTCACCATTCCCCCCCCCCACTAATGTCCCTAACTAGTTTTCTAGGTCTACCATTAAAAAAGTACCATAGGCTGAGTGTCTAACAATAAAAGGAATCTGTTAATCCATAGTTCTGGAAGCTGAAAATCTAAAATCATATTCCCTGGAGGGCCATGTTCCCTCTGATCTCCAGGAAAAACTCGTGCATTTTTTTCTGGCTTCTGATTGTCCCCAGCAATCCTTGGAAGTCCTTGCTTGTAGACCCAGCCTCCAATAACTATATTTGTCCTCCCTTGGCATTACTCCCTGTGTCTCTGTCTCTGTGTATACATTTCCTTCTTTTTATAAGAACACAGTCTCCCCCCCCCCCAACCCAGTGTGAACTCATCTTGATTACGTCTCCAAAGACCATGATTCTAGAAGAGACCACACTCACAGGTTCTTGTCATTGATCTGGGGGGTGGGGGGGATGTACCACCCAATCCACTACAGTCCTCTTGCTCTTTCAGCAACCAATCCAGGGCCACATTGCCTCCTGGTCTATTTTAGTTTCTTAGTGTATCCTTGTTCTTCATGACCTTGGCAGTCTTAGGGAGTACTGGGCAGGTATCTTAAAGGTTACCTGGGTTTGTTTATAGTTTTCATACCAGAGCTCAAGTTTTGCTTACTGAGCTATAGAGATAAAGCTTTCCTAAGAAGCAGCTGCAGGATTAATCCTTTGCCTTTTTCTCTTTGCTGACTGCACAGCACCAGGCATGTATTTGGGGGCTCACAATCATAGTTGGGGCCTCTCTACCCCCATTCCAACGGCCTTTCCCCAAACATGGAAGGCAGCCTTTCCCCTCTCAGACGTTAGAAACCTGTCCACATTGCTACTGTTAATGCACATTTCTTTCTTATTTCCACCAATATGTCATGAGCTATTGCGAACATAACTGGACGTGACCCTTCCCTGGTGAACCTGACAGTCCAAATAGCAGGAAGGCAGAGGTCACCTCAAGGGTTGGGCTGATTCCCCAGTTTGTCAAGGCCCAGATGACAAAGCCCCAGACCGCAAGGAAAACTAGAACTTGCTCTTCTTTTTTAAAAGGTGGATTATGTGAATTCAAACCTTTCATTGAATATTAATAATAACCAAACAAAGAAAGTCCTCTTACTAAGCATCCCTCAGCTTTCAATTCAACTCGGTAGTGAGGAAGAGTATATATATAAAGTAGTGGATTAAATTAAATTCTGAAATCCTAGCCTAGACATATATTTGCCTGCTTATTTGTTTATAGAATTGCTCAGAAATCAATATGTTCACCCTGGGAGTGAGCAGACTGGTGGGCTAGCTAGGAGGAAGGCATCGTTTGCAGTTAGCAGGACTTCTTTTAAGTCCTAGATGTCTTACGTTACCACATCTGCCAAAAGCTACACATGGGGGCGACAGATCTTCTAGTGCTATTTCCACCTGCTCAGTATTTGCTTCATCTTCCTTGGAAATGGCTCCTTGATCTCCCTTCTGGTCACTGCCAGCCCTGCTGTGGTTTGAATGTGTCCCCTGAAGTTCATCTGTGGGAAACTGATCCCCAGTGCAACAACGTCCAGACGTGGGAACTTTTGAGAGGCAATTAGGTCCGGAGCCCTCTGCTCTTACAAATGGGTTCCTGTTATTTCAGGAGTGGTTCATTGTCACCATGATGGGTTGGTTGGAAAAGTGGGTTTGGCCCTCTCTTGCCTGCGTGATGTCTTCTGCCTTATTATGACACAGCAGGAGGTCCCTTACCAAATGTATCCCTGACCTGGGACTTTTCAGTCTGCACAACTGTGAGCCAAATGAAATTCTGTTGTTTATAAATTACCCAGTCTGTGGTGTTCTGTTACAGCAGCACGAGTCAGATGACAACACACCGCCTCTGGATGCAGCCTTTGTTCCAAGAGTCCTGGGGTCCTAAGCTGTGGAGTGGACACGTGCCTGAAGATAGCCCTGCTGGACAATGTGCCTTGGGAATTTGAATCTCTAGGGCTGTATCATAGTGGCAGAAGTGAATGGAATGAATTTCTTCTGGAAGAGGCATTCTGACGAGGCTCTTTATTGGTTCCTGCTACCCTGAACCCTTGGGATAACTTCTGCTTGTCTTTTTGTTGTATTTTGAGTCTCTATTTAGTCCCATTTTAAAAAAATCTTCCATGGAAAACCCAGTTCTCCTGCCTATGCCCCCAAAACCCTGATAGACTTTTTAACTTTTTTTTTTTTTTAATCTTTCTCACAGCCCTGCCGCATTCTGGGAGATAAGTCTTTTCTTCTATTAGCTCCTGTTATTTATCCACCTCTCATAGCATGTCTGTCTTCCTCCATTACATTCTGCCACTTGGGTTCTAACCTGCTCCAACCACTCAAGACACAGCACAGTCCTTGTCGTGAGATGAATCATGTTCACCCTCTTTATATTCATATATTGAAATCCTGATTCCCGGTACCTGAGAATGTGACTGATTTGGGAAATAGAGTCTTTAAAGAGGTAATTAAAGTTCCAAGATATCATTGGATAAGACCATAACTCAACATGACTGGTATCCTCCAGAGAAGAAGAGATTAGGAAGCGCACGCGAGTGCCAAAAGTAGTGCCTGGAGATGGCATGGGAGACCCATGATTTACTGGAGAAGGCTTAGATCAGGGATTGCTCCAAGAAGAGTCTAGGGACAACAGCTGAAAGAGTGACAACTCCATCCCATAAGGTACCTCTCCAAGCAGAGCCTCCATTCCTTATGACACCGCTCCAGGAACACTGCCTGTGTCCCTCACAGCACTTGGTCGATTGGTGGCTGATGGGAAAAGTGACACGTGCCTCCCCACAGTATCCTCAACTCTGGTGCCAGTTACCACAGAAATAGGGTTTTGTAGGTGAATTGGTGGAAGCCATGGCATCGTTAACCTGCTAAGTCTGCTTTGTTCTTTTAGGGCCAGCATTCCAAGGAGTAGCTTTTCCCATGCCATTTCAAGCAAGCCATTTCAAAGGACAGATAACATCACCTTGTCTTAGTCTCCATCATCATGAGAAAAGGCAGAGTCCTGCAAGGTAACAGTCACATATGCTTTCCAGCCCATGCCTCTCCTGTTCCCTGGATGAGGCTTGGGTCCGGGAACCAAGGGGCATCTCAGGAACATGGAATTCTTTTGCTGACATTCACCTTTCTTTAGGGCTGACACACAAGGCCAGGGTAAGTTTCTGGCCTTAGTAGAAACCAGCCCTGCTAACAGCTTGATCTCATACTCCCAGCCTCCAGATATGTCAGAAAATAAATTCTTATTAGTCATCCAAACTATAGCACCTTGACATGGCAGCCCTAGCTGATGGTGATAGTGGCCAGGGATGCAGACTCTGGGTGGGGCCACCTGCATCAAATGTCCCTGGAACTATGGGCAAGTCATTTTACTATCGAGTACTGACATTTTGTGGTGATGTTGGAGGAAAGGAGGAAGACAGCAGAAGATGTTTGAGACTCAGTCAAGTCCGACAGGAAGCGAGAGAAAGGGATAAATAGGCAGAATTTCTCCTTCCAAATTCCCATTGCCTCAAGTCACTCCTCCTGGTCCAGACAGAGCAGAGGGGACAATTGGGTTTTGCTCATCCCTGTGATAGGAATTCCCTGCCTACTGAGTTAATGGTTAGGAACAAAAGAGAAATAGTTAATCTAAAAGCAATTCTATTTGTGTGCTTTGGACAAGTCCCTGACCTCCCCATGCCCTCTTTCCTAATCTCTAAAGTGGTAATGACAACACTTGCATCTTAGAGCATTGTTGGATGTAGCCCATGGCAGAAAATGCATTTAACTTGCAAAATATTCTCTGCCCGGTGTCCAAATTCCTTAAAGGCAAGCACTCTGGTTTTATCATTCACCTTTTCATTTCATGTTGTAATTCAGGGGCAGATATACGGCAGCAGCCTGCTTACATTTGCTGGATGACTAAGTGGTGGCTGTTATTATTAAAGGAGACAGTCAACAGATGGACAGTTGCTCAGGGCTGGGGCTGTTGTCTGTTAGTTTTATGTGCTAGCCCCAGGCTAGTGGCCATGATGGCAGAGCATCATTTAAGGTTCAGATGGAGCGTACATCAAAAATGACGATAAAGGAAGAAACACATAGTTTTCGACATCTAAATTTTCTGCTGAAATGTTCACTTCCAGAGTGGGTGGAAAATGTGTATACTAATCACAATGAATTATTTGTAAATGGAAGAGTGTGTCTGGGGGTTATTGTCCTCCTTCCTCAACACACACACACACACACACACACACACACACACACTTATACCAGCCCATCTATCACATATTAACAAAGGTAAATTGCTCCCTGTCTTTCTATTTCCAATGAGGCAAATTTCAACATCTTACGCCGCACATACAAAACTTTTGCATGAAGTTCACAGAACACTTGTTTTTCTCATGTTTTTCCTCCTGCTTCTAATGTTCAGATACAGGGTTTGCTCAGCCCTGGCGGATCTACGCATGCTTTTCAGCAAGCGTGCAACTGCCTCCTCCACCTCCCCCCCTCAGCTCTGGCACAGCCTTCCTAGGTCCAGAGAGGAGTGATTTCCAGGAGTGTGGCCCCACCTCTCCCCATCAAAACCCATTGCCCCAGAGTGTCATCATTCATTCACACACTGGTCTCTGACGTTGAACCAGGAGCTCCTCCAGAGCAGCGTCTGGCATCTTCATCCCTGCATCTGTCACCCATTTCAGCAAGTCACAGGACGGAGTGAATGTTCTATAGCTTCCATTAATGGAAGGCCTACTTTGTGCCAGGTACTAGGATAAAATATTTATACTCAGATCATTTAACCTCCTGATGTGATGAAATGAAGGCTAAGAGAAGCTAAGCCACCTGTCCAAATCCTTCCAGTCGTTAGAGTAGGAACTTGAACTCAGGACTGAGCAACTGATGAGGCATTGAGCACACATTTCATGAGCATCTGCTGTGCTCGGGATGAAGCCTTGCAGTGTTCTCTGGGTCGAGCACAAACATTTTAAAATATCTTCTTTTGAAATAGCAGGACCTAGGGGGAAAGGTGAGACAGGTTCCCTTTAAAAACCCAAGTCAAAGGCAGCAGTGAGGAAGGGGAGCAAGGACAGATTGGCAAGGACTCCTAATGAAGAGGCTTCTCTGCATTCATTTCCTCACCTGGGAAAGAAGGGGGCTTGGTATCCCCAGAGAAGGGTAATAGGAGAAGAAGCACTGACCCTGAGGCCCGGAAGGTGTGAATGACTCAGGCTGTCTATGATGTTTATTGCCCACTTTTCTAAGCTCAAGGACCCCAATTTCAAAAATCTATTTAATCTATTTGCCACCTACAAACACATTTTTTATCATAGCAACCAATGCGCAGTAGCACAGCTACCCCCATCCTCCCTCCACCCGGCTGCCCCAGCCGCTGCCTTCCTTGACTGAAAGCCCCTTTCCCTCCCACCCTCGGCAGCTGCTCACATTCCTCCAAATCTATGTTCTCCTCCTCCAGGAGGGGTTCCTGAACCTCAGGCTAGAGGACTCATCCTCCCCTTCTGCATTCACATTTGTCACTATCGTGTGTGTGTGTGTGTGTGTGTGTGTGTGTGTGTGTGTGTTCCTTCACTCCCAGAAGTGAAGGGGCTTTAATGCCTAAGCAATGCTTCAGCCGCATCTTAGCCGGGGCTCAGGGCTCCTGTCCACCTGGTCCCTTTGAATGTTAGACAGCAGCACTGACGACACAGAGTATTCCAAATGGAGAAGATAAAGCAGAGAGCAATCAGAAAGAATATCTATGTGTATGTTTCGGTAGATTGTCCAGAGAAAACTTGGAAAGAAAAAAACTTGTATCTCAAAGCCCCCAGAAATCTGTTTTGAGCTATTTCTCATTTAAAAAAAAATACTCACTGATTTAATTTCATACCTAATCTTGTGATTTTATTTTGATGTTTCCAAGAGGGTCCTCCTAGTCTGTGTAAGCTGCAGGGACCACACATCTTGGATCTGTTCCTATTACTTTGTATTACAACTGACTGGCTTTCTCTCCTCTGCTCAGATGTGGGCTTTTGGATGTGGGTGTCTGACTTACCTGTGCATTTTCAGAGCTCAGTTAGACTTACTTCCCCCATGCCTGAGAAGAAACCTCCCACATCTAAGGATGAAGCCACCTGCTCCCTCCCAGGTTGAATTTTTTTTTTTTTGAACCTGAAGTCATCTCTCACAGAATGCTTGAGAGCAAACCTCTAGGTGGTCTCACCTGGACTGTCTAGGTGCAAAGGAGGTGGTTAACCAGGGTGGCCAGTTCACTGGCAGAAATATTACAGATCTTCCATCTCCTTAATAGGTTGCTCCTACTATTTCCACCTCCCTGCACTGCTCTCCAGCAGCCAGATGGGCTGTGCACCTGATGGACCAACAGCCCTGACCTGCAGAGGGCCAGACAGCCTTCCCATGACTCAACCAAATGAAGCACCTCATGGCTATTTAACCACTTGCCTCTGGACACACATGCAGCAGCCCCTTTCTGGAGTCCTTTATTGCTCCTGGATCTGGCACAGTGAGCATATGACAACTTGGTTTTTGAATCTTTGCATTCAGTCCTTTCTATTGCAAAACTTCAAGTTATGCATTCCAAAGGAGGCTCCTTCCATATGTTACTTTGAACTGAGAAACTTAAAAAAAAAAAAAACAGCAAAGGCAAAGGAGATGCTTTCTCTGAGCTCCTCTTATCTGCCTGCAGACAGAGTCTCCAAATGGAACTGAACTATCATCAAGGCCCTGCCTTGGAGCTTCATCAACCGGGGAAGGTTAACTCATCATGTCACGGGAGAGACTGAAACACCACCTGAGATAAACTTTGTCACAAGCGATCCTCTGTTCTCCTAAGGTCTAGTCCCCCAAGTTACTGACTCCCTCTGTACTGCCTATATCACCCTCCTTGCTACCCTGTGAGGAGGAGGGATAAGCTCCCCAGTCTCATTCCCCAGTAAATTAACTTGTTAGATTTCACATAGACAAGAACTGGGGAGTTCTGGATTCAAACCAGAGCCTGTTATTTCTCTGCAGTCAAGGGAGATAAGCCTGTCCTAACTCGTGGATTATTTGTGCCCTCCACCACAATGATGCCTGGGAAGGGGCCATGACCCAAAAATGGCACCGGGAGGGGCAACAGCATGAGGAACGTTAAAGCGGACCCTGCCTGGGAGGTGACCCCCAGATCCCAGATTGATTTGACAAAACCTGTTCCCAGATTGTACCGGGCTTTGAACCACAGAGATAGTTTCATTAACCTCCTCGTATTTCTGGGTTGAATTATATAAAATTGATGTATGTAAAGGTAATTTTTTTTTTACAATTGAGTGCCGTCAATTTCATATGATTCACTTAAAGACAAGCTGGGACCTAAGGGGAAAGAGTCGGCTCGTTCTCAGTTTGTCCCTTTTCCTCCACGGATCTGCTTTTTTCTCTTTTCCCTACTTCTCAGAATGACAAATGAACATAGACCCAACATCAGTCAGAATTTCCACAGGAAGTAGAGGGAAGGGCAGAGGGGGAGGGAGAAAGGAAAAGAGGAGTCACTTAGAAAAGGAGAACCAGAAAAAGAGACGGTGGCTCCTTTGTATTTCCAAGGATTCCCTGATACAGTGCAACCTTCCTCAAAGGCCTGCCTCCTCTAGGAAGGTGCCTCCGACAGTCCAGATCAGGAGGGACCCCTTTCTCTGAGCTCCTGCGGGTTCAGGAGAGCCTTCCTCGGCATCCTATCAGTGTGCTGTGTCATGGAGGCTTCTATGGGCACAGACCTTGGGTACCTACCCGGATCATGAACACTGAGTAGACCACCGATTCTTTGTATCCCAGAAAGAAAAAGAACTGAAACTCAGAATGGTTGGTTCCAGCTCTTCTGCCCAATATTCTCTGAGCCTGGCAGACCCCTTGGTATTCAAAGGGCTCTTGTTTAGGGGCAGTGGAAGGGAAAACGTTTGTAATTCTCAAGCACCAAAGATAATTCTTGCCTTTCCCTTCCTATAGTTCCCCAAATTCTCAGAACTGTTCTCTGAGCGTAGGCAAACTTCTTGATAGAAATGCTTCCATTTATTTATTTATCTATTGCTGACATTCTCAGAGAGACACTGGTTTAATCTGTCTTTCCTTCTGAGCATCCTCACCTTTTGAGTTTGCGTAGGTTGCGTTGCTGTGGAAAGCCCAAGGCTTTCTGCTAAGACCCAGTAAGAGACAGAAATGGAGACTGTTGAAGAAGTGAAATCAACAAGGAGAGAAGAGTCAAATCAGGACAGCGGCCGGAGTGGCAAAGCACAACGTCAGCCATGATTTCCACCAGAAGGAGAAAGGACAGAAGGAGATGAAGAAAGGGAAGGAGGAGGCTCTTAGGGACGGAGGGGAGAGGTGGTAGCTCTCTGGAGTGGAGTGAGAGATACCAGATTCCCCCCAGGGCCGGGGCATAGAGGGGTGGCACAAGGTCTCCAACAGCACTGCTTCTTGTTCCCAGAAAGGGAGACACTGTGCCCTGCCAGAGCAGGGAGTTAGAAACACATGGGTTTCTGCTAAGGGGATGTCCACACCAGGACCATTCTCTTTCGGCCACATCCTGGGGAGTCACAGTGCCTGATCTGACTACTGCCTCCTAGAGGATAGGGCATGGAGCAAAAAAAATGTTCCTGTTGTCACCATTGATGGCAGCCACACAGGCAGCCAATAAACAACATAGTAGTTTTGTTGTCCCACTTTTTAAAATTATTATTTTATTCTTTAATGCTGAGATCGAACCTAGGGGTGCTTAATCATAGAGACACATCCTCAACCTTTTTAAAATTATTTATTTGTTTACTTATTATTTATTTATTTTTTATTTAGAGACAGGATCTTGCCCAGTTACTTAGGTCCTTCCTAAGTTGCTGAGACTGATCTTGAACTTGCAATCCTCCTGCCTCCGCCTCCCAGATTGCTGGGATTAGGGTTATGCAACAACATACCCAGCTGTTGCTCCACTTTTTCAAAAGTTTTTCTGGCAATGTGGTTGGTGAAGCCGAGCAGCTCAGGACTTGGTTCTATTTTGTTTCATTTGCTTTGCTCCCATCAGGCAACTACATGTGAGGATAACTTGGTGTTACGAAGGATCTAGAATTGAGAACGTGGGGTTCTGCTGTGGTTTGAACATGTCACCCTCAAATTCATAGTTGGAAACTAAATCTCCAGATTCATATGTCGGTGGTGTTTGGAGGTGGGGCTTTGGGAGTTAGTCAGAATTAGATGAAATAATGAGGGGGGGCCTTCGTGATCAGGCTAGGGGCTTCATAAGCAGGAAAAGAGACTTGAGCTTACAAGCTGCTGCCCTTCCACCATGTTTTAATGCTTCAAGAAGGACTTCACCAGATGCCACACCTTGATATTGAACTTCCCAGCCTCCAGAACTGTCGAGAATAATTTATTTTCCTTATAAGTAACCCATTCTTATTAACCAACTTGCATTGTGTTGTAGCAACACAAAGCAGACTAAACCCACTCTTAAAGTCGGTGTTTAATCAGAAAATAGACTTTAGGGCCAAATGGGTTTTGCTATTTAATCCCTGCAAACATTAGTTTTTCATCTGTAAACCTGGGGCTAGGTGAATGGGGATATCTCTTATTTCACTGGCTTATTTGAGTAAAAGATTAAATAAGAAAAACTTTGTGACGCAGAGGGCCTGGGACATAGAAAGTTAACCATGAAGGTTAGCTACCATTCAATGTTGTATACTTAAAACGTTTTACTTTGGAATCTATCAAAACTTGCAGAGAAAGTTCATGTATAATATCCACTCAGCTTTCCCTAATGGGTATATGTAACTATGGTACATTTGTTAAAACAGGGCAATTAACATTAGTAGAATACTAAATTAAAGACTTTAGGAAAATTTCATCAGTTTTCTCATTGATGTCTCTTTATGTTTGTTTGTTTCAGGGTTTCATACCACTGAGTTTTTATTATTTTTATTATCATTATTATTATTATTATTATTATTATTATTGTTGTTGTTGTTGTTAAATATAACTGTATGACCTTGAAAAAGTTACTTATCTAGGTCCTAGTTTTCTCATCTGTCCTAGGAAATCTGGAACCAAACCAAAGGGTTTAAACTTTTCTGACTTTGTGATATAAGTGTCCTATATTTGTATAAGAAATTAAGACTCCCACAGCACTGGCATGCTCAAGTGACAAATTGGTAGACTAAATCAGAGAAGAGAAATGTAGTATAAAAAGCAGATTCGATGCAATCTATCAGCAATTTAGTCAACCTCTGACTTGGTGTCCCACGTTTCATTGATGCTGAGATGCCCCTTTCCCTGATTTCAGCATCCCTGAAATTGACGTTGGTTTTACAGCTACCGCTGTCTCTCAGCACACTTGGCAGCGTTTTCCTTTGGTGGTAATAATTAATCCTATGTCCCGCAGTCCCAGGACTCAGCCTTGCCAAGTGTGGTGGTGCCAGTGTATTTGCTGTCTCCGGGGGCACAGGCAGGCAGCATGCCCTGCGCTCGCTCCTCTGGAGGTCACATTTCTGATTGCAAATATGGAAAGAGAAGTTGGTAGAAAAAGCCATCAAGAAGTCGAGCCCTGTATGACCACCTGTTATTTCAGTAGTCAGATGTCCCTTTCAGGCTGCACCTGACTATTCAGTGTGACCTTGGACAGTCTATTAGGCGTAGCTCCCAGCTATCCTGAGATAACTAAAAGCAAAAGTCTGACCCTGCGTCATGAAGAAAAGGTCATATTGCATTTTGTACTCTTTGTTTAAAATCACAGAGAAGCGTGTTTTGTGTTTTTGAAAAACCATCCTTAAAATTGGCATTTCCAAAAGAGGTTTGCCAATAACCTGAGCTTCTCATCATGGTGGTGTGGGGATTGCTTACTTCAGAACTCCTGAGCAGGTGTGGGATCTAGTCTCTTCTTTCAAGGAATATTTTGCTCATTTTTTTCTTCAATTAAATCATAGAGGACACCTGCTTCCTCTCTGAATCCTTCCCTGTTTCCCAGTAGACTCTGAAGAATTGATCACTTCCACCTCTGGGAGGAAGATACATGTGTGTGCGCGTCTCTTGTATGGACTGTGCTGAGTGCTGTTCTCAGTGCCGACACACCTAGACAGACCCACATCATTCTTTATAACAACTCTTTACGTGTTGTCACCTCCCAAACCTACAAATGAGGCAACTGAGGCACAGCAAGTTTGGTGACTCCCTTGAATGTCATAGCCTTAGTAAGTGCACGGCTGGGACTTGGATGTTTCGCCTCCTGGCTGCTTGAGTGCATCTCTGTTTCAGCACAAGGACCTTCAGATCACCAGCTGGTGAACGTGAGCTTTCCAGGTGGGCCGCTGCCTCCTTGCTCTGCACCACTGGGATTGCGGAGCATAGTCAGCAGCCTGGGCCCTGGGGCTAGCTCATTCAGGGGTCTGTTTTTGTTCCTGATCAGAAGATGAAGCCCTCGTAGCCCAGGGGTAATCAGGGGTCTTGCTGGTCATCAATCACCCTCTTTACATCTGTGAAATTTAGAAGATATGCTGTATCCTTCCCAGACCAGGGCTATTGCCAGGGTGAACGCAGAAAACCTTTGAAGGGAACAAAGTATGTCACAGATATAAGGCATTTTAATAATTAGCAAAGCTGTAACTACATAAAAAGGCTGCATTTCAACATCAAAAACTAAACCACAGTGCACACACCAATTAAAAACTGTGTGCCAATTTATACATGGGATGCAAATCTCTTTTCCCTCAATCCATTATACTGCCCCTAGAATAACCTCCCTTTCAAGACAAAACTTGTAACAAACTCCTCTTTGCCTACTTGAGTCATTTCTAACAAGGAAAAAATAATGCAGTTAATATTTAATGAGAACCTACTTTGTATCTGACAACATGTTGCTGCCTTGGCTCTAATCGTAAGATATAATTATAGATTGCTATAATTTCAGCCAAGCTACTTTACTTTGATGAGCCTCAGTTTCCTCATCCATAAATTGAAGATAACAATAATATCTGCAGACCCACTGTGTGCAGGTGTGTGAGTTGTACTCTGCACAAGGGCATGAAGACTAAGGGAGTGCCGGCCCAGCATAGAAGGGGAGATTTGTATACATATTACCAGTTTCCCAGAAGATAGGTTTTGTTCTAACCTAAATAGTATTTTATAACAGTTTTCCAAAAGAAGGGGAAAGGGGACCTTTTGCTGCTTTATACACAGGTTCTACCTAGGCCAGAATCAATTTCCAGTTCCTAACTCATCAAGGTGTTCTGAGAACTGATTAAGTAAATATACAGACTTCACAGAATAATGCTACAGCAAACAGAAGAGGAGCC